TAAAACGCTCCAACTGACCATTTCACACGAACTTTTATCGCTGGGTAATTTTGCGATTTTTCATCCAATTCAATCATATATATGCTCAAAATCTTCGCAGTAAGTTTCTCTTTAGTCTCTTTACCATAAAATTTGACCGAATGAGTTTCGAAACAATGCGACGGCAAAAAATGCAAAAATCCTTATTTTCGTAATAGAATCTATAGTCTTTTTTGCCCTGTTGTACCGCCATCTTGGATTTATCATGTAGGCCCCGCCTGCGCTAGGTATGCGTTACCAATCTAGATCTCCTATATCTATGGTCACATCTTGGGCAGAGGCTAGCGGTTACTTTCATCTTTTTTACCTTCTAGCGCAATTACGAAATTCTTTCTAAATTAATCTTTAAAAGCCTCTGCGAAGGAGAGAGGTATTGCTATATACGATTCCATAGCTAATAAAATAGATCGATTGCAGGAGAAGAAGACGCATTTTAGGATGTGATTTGACGGGACCAATAACCGGGTAAAAATGGCGCTTATGCAATTGCAATTTTTCAACAGCTGATTGCTCTTAAAGGTTTTGAAATGTCTTTGAAAATAGGCTGAAAAAGTCTTTGAAAGTTTGTGAATTTTTTGGTTTTCGAGATTACGAACCCTGCATGCTCATAGTGTTGTGTATTGTATTACTCTTAGTAGGAACTAATTCAAAAATTAGCGATGATTTATTGATCGTGAGTGCATGATTTCGTGGTAGTGGGCAAGTAGTAACAGGGTAATATTAAAAGTAACATTTGTATCCAACCATTAATAGTTTAAAAATCAAAAGAAATCAATGTTTAATGTGGTGTTGTATCCACATATACAAAACTCTCCTGACTTGCATAACGTTTGCCTCGATTTTCTCAGTTAAAATCACTTCGTTTTAAATAATTTCTTAAAACACAACTGTTGAAATCTTTACGTTTTCCAAGCTATCTGCGGCATTTGCGCAACCTTTCGCATTTAGCACGAGTTTGTATATATCTGGTACAACACGGCCGCTCATGCTGTATATATTACTTAAAGCGCGGCTAGGAGCAATTATTGACATCTTGTAAAAGTACTTCATGATTAAATAGTGTGTAAGATATATAGTGTTATATATCCCTTAAGTTTCCGTTATAAATTAACTGTAATGATATATTTGTCGAGTGTTGTCGTAATATTAGTAATTTATGTATGTGATAATGTAGCACGGCCTGGAAAACCACTTTTTGTAAACACTTTTAAACCGTGGGTAAATAAAGTTTTCAGCACTGTGTCTGTGAAATATTTAATAGCCAAAATTTCTCGCACAAGATGGCGTTTCTGGAAAACCGAATGATAATGTACATATAAATGACGTGAGTAAAAGTTTTGGACAATTGAACGTTACCTGTCACGCGGTTTTTAGGCTATCACGTTACGAGACATAAATCCTCTGTTTTTTTACATACGTTAGATTAATTACAACTATTTTGTCAACAAGACCCTGAAGCACAAACAAATGAAGCTGACACAACTTATTAAGAGCAACACTTTACAAAAATGAACGCAGAAGTAATTATCAGTCGTTGACAAACAGAAAAGCTCAATCAAACTCTCAAACTCTGAACAATACAATTACAGTAGCTGAAGTTGATACATCTTACAAAGAGCTTGATTCGTTGAGAGTGAATGCTGCAAGAAATGACGCCGCAAATGATGATGACTTTACTTGCACGGATGTGAAGGGTCCTGGGCCCGAGGTCATTTTATAGTCAAATAAAAATCATCACTCGCGCCAGACAATATTCCTTAGTTTTCCGAAGGTTTTCAGTAGTGGCCACGACTAAATCAGTTCACGAAACAAAAATTGCTAACGGCTTGGTTGGGTTTGATATTATTGACTTAGTTCAAAGTGTGCAGTACGTCTGTCTTATCTTGAGAGATGCAAGAATAACCTGCTACTCGGTAACTCCGTTTTTACTTTGCGTAAAGACCTCACATGTAGACCACGAGGTCACAAAAGCAAAGTAATATAGCCTGACATGTCTATAATTTCATATTTGATCAATTTTAATGGGGTATTAATTGTTTCAATGTCTTTTCTGTTTTGAGAGCTCCAATCTTGGACATATACTGCTTGTTGAAACCAGTGGCGTAGCCAGCTCGATAAGTGAGGGGGACATATTCATATATTCGTGTTCTGCATGATTAATTTCTTTTGAAATTGATTGTTTTTACAGTGTGTGAATACGAATATATGAATAAGTCCCCCCCCCCCCACTTATCGAGCTGGCTACGCCACTGGTTGAAACTGTATACCTGTCCCCATGTATTCCCGTACAAAGTTTGATAAATTCCCTGGTTGAATTTGGCACCAAGATGGCAGCCGTTTTGTTGTCTTTAAATTTCCAGGAGATTGGTTGCAAACCACCTACAGAGTGTATCAAAAAACCTGCAAACCTTTGAAATACAATGTTTTTAGAATTTGCATGATTCAGAACTAATTGTTCCCAAGCGTGCATATACACAATAGTTGACCCATTCGCAGTCAAACTGCATGATTAGTTTTCTGCATTACAAATAACTTTGTGTTGTTCTAATTTCTTATCAACACGGTTAATTAGAATGTATTTTCAAATCCCAGAAGCAAAATAAGTAGCACAGACATTGAAATGCTAGTAAGCAGCAGAATTATGCAAATAAAGTGTTTGCAGGTTTTTTGATACACTCTGTATAGTCCCTTGTAGTACAGCCACAGAGTGTTTCAAAAAAAGTGAGAACCTTTAGAGTTTAGAAATCACCCTTTTGCTGTAAACACTCGATTGAATTGTATTTACGCACCCATGGGTTCAGTATAGGACTCAGGAGTTCAAATTATAACAAGGTGGATTTCTAAAAGCCCGCCGCACACGAGAGCAACTTGCTGAGCTAACCGCCTCGCGAGGCAACTACCTCGGCTATGTATTTTCACCCCACATGTTGGGAAAACTACTCAACAACAACATAATTAACAAAATTATTTGCATTTTCCTCCATTTTGTTCCACGTCACATGAAGAAACTATGGTTTCTCATTGGCTAATTTATTCAAGCAGCTTAGCTCACAATATCCGCGCTGAGACTTTTTCCTCGCGAGGTGAAAAATATCAAACACGATAGATATTTTCCTCAAGGCCTCGAGAGGTCAAATCCTCACGAAAACTATCCGCACACGAGGGCTAGCTCAGCAAGTTGCTCTCGTGTTTGGCGGGCTTTAAGTTCACCTTTTTGCGCATGGATAAATGCCACTTGCTTGAAGCGAAAATCAGTTTATATGTTGACGTGTGTCTAACGTTTTCTACCATGAAAATCATCATATGCGAGTCACTGCGCTGGTTACTTATTGTTTTAATATACTGGCTTAATTAATGTGACATGCTCACTAAAAAAATAATTTGGTTTCACCCTTGACTTGAAATATAATGAGTAAATAAAATTAGCGATGTGCAACCGTCCATGACACAATCCACGTTTACTGCGATGAAAACCACCTCTGGAAAACCACGATCCACGTTTACTGCTGTCACGTGATCAAATTTGCATTTTTTCGGACAACTTTCGCACTCCGCTATTCAAAGTGTATACACGTGCGCGATATAAACAAGCGAAAATATCGCAAAATAAGGACATTTGAAAGGGTTTTTTTTTTATTTGTGGGTATATTTTAACTCCTGTAAATGTAATATGTAGCGAAGAGAAAAATGTGTAGTTGTATGGATATAAAGGAGAATATGCGTGTTTCGGACATGACTGTTGCCGAACTAAAGGAGTATTTGAAAATGCGTAGCGTTACTGCAAACGGCTATTTAAAACCTGCTTTACTTCAAATTGCTCAAGCAGTGGAGAAAATGATGTTGCCGATTGACCCAAATCATGAATATGGAAATTTGGATCTCAAGAACGCAAAAGAAACATTTATTATTCATGATATGATGATACGTCAGCCATTGTCATATGCAGTCGTGAATGACTTTATAGATTCGCCACCCTTCGGTTTGTATATTTTTAACTATTTAATATACAGCTCAGCTGAGTATGATAAACAGGGACATGCCTCATATAAATCATTCGAAGATTATAGAGGCTGCAAGCACATCGCAGCCTGTTTGTGTTCGCTGGAGGATGTACTGCATAATCGCGAGAGTGTATATAAACATCTGGTCTATACCAGGTCATTAGTAGAAAAGCAAATAAATTGATTATAAAATATAACTTACTTTATTCCCATCAGCTGAAGCTGGTATCGGATCAGGATAATCCGCTGTGGGTCCATTTTCGCCAATAAAACAAAAACCGCATATATAGCTGTCTTTCCGACAGACGAACTTGTCGCCTCGACAACATGCATTTATCCAAATTTGCCTTCTTTCCTTAGATTTCTTCTCACTTGGGAAACTGTAGAAAGATACTGAAGTCCCATTGTCCTTTTTTAAGCGTGCTGGATACCTCGAATTGCTTTTGCATATTCCCCAAGCACATCTGTTTCCCATAATTTGTGAATCGCTTATAGTATAATCATGGATAGTATAATCGAGGCCGTCGAGCGAAATATATCCCTATATTTTGGTACCCACACAACGGGAAATTTTTCTCTTTGCTACATATTACACTTACAGGAGTTAAAATATACCCACAAATACAAAAAAAAACCTTTCAAATCGTCCTTATTTTGCGATATTTTCGCTTGTTTATATCGCGCATGTGTGTACACTTTGAATAGCGGAGTGCGAAAGTTGTCCGAAAAAATGCAAATTTGGTCACGTGACAGCAACATATTTGTCA